TTTATTTTTTAGACAAGGTCTTGCTCTGTTGCCCAGGCTGGAATACAGTTGCACGATCATAGTTCACTGTAACCTCAAACTCCTGGGCTCAAGAAATTCTCCCTCCTTGGCCTCCCAAAGAGCTGGGATTATAGGTGTGAGCCATCATGCCCAGCCGCCTTCAGTTTCTAGGAAGTATAAATGGACCCTTTTGAAAATCTAATGAAAGCCATGGATCATCTCCCCAGAAAATGAACAATTCATAGAGTTTTTTGCATGTAAACGTAGATTGGGGACCTCCATTAAGAAACTTGCTAAATTTAAAATAAAAAAAAAAAAGTGTTGCTGTAAGTGGCATACTGATCAATGTTGGGTACAGAATTACATACTCATATTCTCAAGTTGTTCACCAACTCCATATGGCACTCCTTGTATTTCGATATAAAATCTGTTTTGTAAACCCAATGAAAAAATGGGCAAAGATCTGAATAGACATTTCTCCAAAGAATATATCTAAATGGACAATAAGCATATGAAAAGATGCTCAATATTGTTAGCCATCAGGGAAATGCAAATTAAAACCACAATGAGATACCATTTCACACCCACTAGGATAACTATAATAAAAAAGATAGAAAATAACAAGCATTGGTGAGGATGGGGATAAATTGGAATCCTCGTATACTGTTGGTGAGAATGTAAAATGGTGCAGCCACTTTGAAAAACAGTCTGATTAATTCCTTAAAAGGCTAAACACAGAGTTACCATATGACCAAACAATTCTCCTCCTAGGTATACACTCAAGGAAAAACAGGTCCACGCAAACATTCGTATACGAATGTTCATGTTAGCATTATTCATAATAGCTCAAGAGTAGAGGCAACCTGTATGTCCATCAACTGATGAATAAACAAAATGTGGCATATCTATACAATGGAATATTATTCAGCAATAAAAAGGAATGAAATACATACATGCTAAAACATGTAAACCTTGAAAACATTGTGCAAAGTGAAAAGCCATTCACAAACGACCATATGTATGACTCCATTTATATGAAATGTCCAAAACAGGCATATCTAATATACAGAAAGCAGATTGGTGGTTGCCTAAAGCTGGAGGGAGTTTGGGGGCTTGGGGGGATAATGGCTAATGGGTACGGGGTTTCTTTTGAGGGTAATGAAAGCATTTTAAAATTGATTGTGTGGGCTGGGCACAGTGGCTCACGCCTGTAATCCTAGCACTCTGGGAGGCCGAGGTGGGCAGATTGCTCAAGGTCAGGAGTTCGAAACCAGCCTGAGCAAGAGCAAGACCCCATCTCTACTATAAATAGAAAGAAATTAATTGGCCAACTAATATATAGAGAAAAAAAAATTACCCAGGCATGGTGGCGCATGCCTGTAGTCCCAGCTACTCGGAAGGCTGAGGCAGTAGGATGGCTTGAGCCCAGGAGTTTGAGGTTGCTGTGAGCTAGGCTGATGCCACGGCATTCACTCTAGCCTGGGCAACAAAGCGAGACTCTGTCTCAAAAAAATAAAATAAAATAAAATAAAATTGATTGTGTGGTGCCGGGCGCGGTGGCTCACGCCTGTAATCCTAGCACTCTGGGAGGCCGAGGTGGGCAGATTGCTCAAGGTCAGGAGTTCAAAACCAGCCTGAGCGAGACCCCGTCTCTACTATAAATAAATGAAATTAATTGGCCAACTAATATATATATATAAAAAATTAGCCGGGCATGGTGGCTCGTGCCTGTAGTCCCAGCAACTTGGGAGGCTGAGGCAGGAGGATCGCTTGAGCCCAGGAGATTGAGGTTGCTGTGAGCTAGGCTGACGCCACGGCACTCACTCTAGCCTAGGCAAGAAAGCGAGACTCTGTCTCAAAAAAAAAAAAAAATTGATTGTGTGGTGATGGTTACACAACTGTGTGAATATACTAAAAAACCACTGATGTGTACACTTCAAATGGATGAAGTGTATGGTATGTGAGTTCTATCTCCATAAAGCTATTAAGGACCTATATCTTATAAAAATGTATGTATAAAGCCTGAACCATTAAAAAATTGATAAACTGTGCATCAAAATGTAAACGTTCTGCTCCTCAAAGATGACATTTAAAAAAGAAAAAGCAAGACAGACCAGGAGAAACTATTTGTATATATACATCTGACAAAGGACTCACATGAAAAAAATACAAAGAATTAATAGTAAGAGGATAAATAACACAATTATGCTTGCTTAAAGTAACTACAGTGTTACTTTAGACAACTAAATAGAACAAGGAAATAGGTTTATTGAAAGATTGCTCTGAATCTGAAAAGACTAAAACAAGCCAATCTGAAGAGTACCACTAGAGATACTTGATCTGGATGTGGGCAGAACCAGAGCTGATATGAGAATATCAGTATAGTAGTCCCCTCTTATCTGAGGTTTCGCTTTCTGCAATTTCAGTTACCCACAATCAACTATGGTCTGAAAATATTTGATGGAAATTTTTAGAAATAAACAACTCATAAGTTTTAAATTGTGTACCCTCTCAAGTACCATGACGAAATCTTGCACTATCCCACTTTGTCCCACCCAAGACAAAAATCATCCCTTTGTCTATCATATACTTTATTATACCTTTATCACAGGTATGTGTATATAGAAAAAAACATACTATATATAGAATTCAGTACTATCTGCAGCTTCAGGCATCCACTGGGAGTCTTAGAACATATCTCCCACAGGAAAATGAGGACTACTGTAACTGTTAACATAAACAGAATAGCTATTAATGACTAAATAAATTGTAAAGACTTATAATGGTGTGTCAGAAAATGATCATTCACACAAAATAGCTGTTGAAAAGGTAAAAGAGATATATGAGAGAGAAAGTCCAAGTGTGTATATGAGTCACACATTTCTAACTCTTGAACTATTGGAGTACTCCATCAACACTAGATTATGTCAGGTCTGTGGGACGTGAATTGAATAGGTGGCTATCAAACTGCATGGGAAACTCGAACAATTCCAACACCCATCCCTACCCCAGATTCTTCCATCAGAAGACCCAGAAAATGAGTAGAAAACACTTTCATCATAAATGCAAACTTCCATCCACTGACAATTTATTTCCTTGGAAAAAGAAAGGGAAAAAAAAGGAATGGAAGAAAAATACCCAGAAACTAAAGTCACATTAATGTTTACAGTTAAGGTGACGAGTGGCATGAATCCAAACATAACTTTGTGCTGGTCAACAGGACCCAGTTAAAAGAATGCTGATTTACAAATTTCCCTAAGATAGAGTAGTTGAGCCAATAGTAATTGGTCACTGTTTCTTTTCTCTGCGTGTCTTAAGAGGCCATGAACTTGCCCGGGGCACGGTGGCTCACGCCTGTAATCCTAGTACTCTGGGAGGCCGAGGCAGGCGGATTGCTCGAGGTCAGGAGTTCGAAACCAGCCTGAGCAAGAGCAAGACTCTGTCTCTACTATAAATAGAAAGAAATTAATTGGCCAACTAATATATACATAGGAAAAAATTAGCCGGGCATGGTGGCGCATACCTGTAGTCCCAGCTACTTGGGAGGCTGAGGCAGGAGGACTGCTTGAGCCCAGGAGTTTGAGGTTGCTGTGAGCTAGGCTGATGCCACGGCACTCACTCTAGCCTGGGCAACAAAGCAAGACTCTGTCTCAAAAAAAAAATGAGGCCATGAACTTAAGAGAGCTAAGCCTTTGCCTTCTGATGTGACTGCCTTAGGTGAATACAGTAGTGAAATTTTGGTTTGGCTATAATGGGCAGAAGTTGGAAAAAGCACTATGAAGTTCAGAGATCTGGACACAGATCGGACTCCTCCAGCTGGCACTGGATCCATCAAGACAGGATGACATCCTAAGAATTGACCTCACCCATCTGGTTCTCTCTGGGATGGGAAAGACAGTAAATCAGGTAACTGAGCATAGTCCAAGAGGAATCACCAACATACTAATCATCCATTCATCTACTGAACAAGCATTGATTGAGACCCTGCTCCACACCAGGCTCTAGCACTAAGTATACAATGATTAATAAACCAGATTCAACAGCCAGGTGCAGTGGCACATGCCTGTACTCCCAGCTACTCAGAAGGCTGAGGCAAGAGTTGGAAGCTATGGTGTACCATGAGCATGCCTATGAATAGCCACTGCACTCCAGCCTGGGCAGCATAATGAGACCCTGTTTGTTAAGGGAAAAAAAAAAAGGCCAGGTGCAGTGGCTCATGCCTGTAATCTTGGCATTTGGGGAGGCCAGGGAGGAAGGATTTCTTGAGCTCAAGAGTTCGAGACCAGCCTAAGCAAGAGTGAGACCCCATCTCTACTAAAAATAGAAAAATTAGTTGCTTTTTGTGGCACATGCTGTAGTCCCAGTTACTCGTGAGGCTGAGACAGGAGGATCCCTTGAGCCCAGGAGTTTGAGGTTGCAGTGAGCTATGATGACACCACTGCATTCTACCCTCTGTCTCAAAAAAAAAAAAAAAAAAAGAAAGAAAAGAAAAGAAAACATTTCAATCTCTGTGTTGATGAAATCTAAGTCTTGAGGGAGGAAGATAGACTAAATAAATTGCTATACAGTATCTAGGTGATTACAAGTATGATAAATGCTAACAAAAGAGTCAGAATGGGATCCCAAAGAGGAAGGTCAGACCAATAAGTAGGGCAGGCTTGCCCATACCACCAAAGAGAAGCAATGCCCTGTGGTGCCAGTAAAGGCTGCTCAAGTCTTCAGATATTGAGTGAAGACCTCCTTGGTACTGGAACCTACTCATAAATGGATAATAGAGGATAAACAAACACATGATATAACCACTAAGAACAGAACAGACATATATTAATGTATACACCTTAAACAGTCTCTCACTGTCTTTCTCTCTTTCATACACACTAACTCATGTTCATCTATATATGCATAACACACCATCACATTCATAACCCACACTCCCAGCCTCACACCTTCAAAGGTAATATACACACCTCACACGAATATATACACACAGGCCACCATACCAGGCTGGCTGCTGCTCCACTCCTCACTCTCTGGGGTACTAGCGGTGGGTTGTCCCTCTGGATCCTTTCTTTCTTCTTGCTTCTCCTGTAGAAGACAAGCCTGATCCCAGCTTCCTGTCCTTATGGGTTAGGGTGAAGCCCTAGCCTCTGATTCTGGCCCCTATCTAGCTCTCTGGCCATGTGGTGTTCTACCCCAAAGAGAATATCTTCTAGGCTACCAGTAGAAACACAGACTCATGTGAGTACACACATCCTGGTTACACAGCCTGACTACAACTCTCCTTATTACCAGGTAGAGAAACTGAGCACACAAAAGCCTGCTCTGTGCTGATTTTACACGTCCAATGGAATCTTCATGCTTTGTCTCTTCCAGCTTATGCAGCTAAAGTCCTGTGCTCCCTGGCCTCTGGCCTATCTACTACTGGACTCCAGCGGTGGAGTTTTCCACTTGCCTACATATGTACTTTGGGTGCCAGTTCATGTGACCATGTCTTAACCATGACACTAGACTAAGATAGGAGCTCCAGAAAATTAGAAGAGTGATTAATTCATTTCCCTTCTACCAGGTATAGGATCTGACTCAAGAGGGACCCTAAAATATAATAAGTGAACCATTATGAATATCTTCTCCGGCCTAGTCCCAAGACCTGGATTGATGGTGGGGACAGTGGGAATTGAGGCATAGGCTTTAGCTTCCCCCTTCCCTGCCCACTATCCTCTTCCTACCATGGCTTCTAGTTCAGACTCCTCCTCTGATGGGCTGTAGTATTCCCTGTGCTTCCTCTTCTTCATGGGTTTGAGAAGCTCAGAAGCGCTGCCACGGCCTGAGGAATTCTCCACTATGACTGACCTGAGGGAGGGGCAGCCTTAGGAAAAGAACCTCATGCCCTGCACCACCCAAGCCCTCTCCTAACCCTGAACAGGAATGGGGCTGAAGTCAGAGCAAGTAGGGCTGTGACCTCCTCCCCTTACCGCTCCTGGAAGAGCTGAGGGCAGCCATCACTGGAGGAACCAAGATCTGGACCGGCGCCTTGCTGAGGCCCACAGGCCTGGCACTGACAGGTGCTATCATCCTTGGGGGGATCCTGAGGGGGATCTTCTGGAGGATTCTGGGGGAGGTCCTCTGCGGAGGCCAAATGGGCCTCAGGCCTCCTACGCCATCACAACCACACTCAGGCTCCACCCACGCCCCCTCAGGCCCTGCCTCCATCTTGGTCCCATCTCCGCACTGGACATCCCCACCAATCTTCTCCACCTGAGGATCTACCCCGGGGTGGACCTGTAGAAACCGCCCCGGGCCACCCCCCAACCAAGGCTCCTCAGGGAGCTCAGGCCTCGGCCCAATTGCGCAGGGTCCCAGCTCAGGGCCCAGGAGCGGGATTCCTACCAGGCTGTTGGGTGCCCGCATCGCCATCTCCCGTTGGAGCCCCGCCATCTTCGTATCGGGTCACGCTTTCCCGCCTCAGCTCCGCGCTCTGGGGCTGCTCCCCTCCTACCATGTTGAGCGGCGTGTACTCGCTTATCCGGAACTGGAGCGCGGGAGGGTCCGAGGATTGCGACTCCTGTGCCGGCCCTTGACCCACCTCGGAGTCGGCACCATCGCCTTCTCGCCGCCTCATGCCAAATCACATCCCCCAGCATGCCTGGAGACTTGGCCCCCGGGTGCCTCCATCCATCCAAGCTACAACCACAGAGCCCCTCACGCCAAGCCACGCCCCCAGGCACCTGCAGGTCCAGTCCCAGGATGCCTCACTCTAAGCCACACCCCCGGACACACACGGGCCCAGTCCCAGGGTACCTCATCCAGGCCACGCCCCTGGGCAGTGGCACGTCCAGTCCCTTGGTGCCTCACTCTAAGCCACGCCCCCAAGCGCCCATGGGTCCAGTCCCGGGGGACCTTACTCCAAGCCACGCCCCCAGAGTCCCTTGGATGGGAGTGCTCCCACTGAAGCTGTGCCCATGAAGTCCTCACCCAAAGCCCCACCCAAGCTTTGCCCGCTTCTGCCTCGGGTCCAGCCCTGGGCCCGTAGGCCCCGCCCCGCAGCGGAGGCCTAGCCAATCCCCGGACACTGACCCGCAGGCCGCTCCCAGGGGGCGGGAGTGCAGCCTCCGTCCACTCCAGAAGCCGCACCGTGCTGGCGCTGGAGCTGGCCGCTGGCCGGGCACCACGCTGCGGCAGAATGGTGGTGGTAACTGGTTCGCTGCTGGCCACCTGCTCTGGGGCACCTATGTGGACTGGCTCCCGGGGAAAGCAAGAAACATCCAGAGCACTGCTGGGCAGGCCCAGGGTGGCCGAGCTGGCTGTAAACAGATACACAGACACGACCCGGGTGAGCCTAGTGGCCCTGCCTCAATCCTGCCATGCACGTGCGAGCAGTTGAAAGAAGGGGCAGGTGTAGGAAAGTGAAACTATTATCTGCTCTCCAGGATCCACCATAAGGATGCTCCTCCCAGACTTTGGCTTGACATACCCGGAATGATGAAGGCAGTTGCGGGCAGTTGAGGACCAGAACCTGGGCTGTCTCTGGCCACCAGGTGCACGCTGACCTCCCCTGTGGAGGGCCCCGTCAATGTCCTGAGCATCTCCATGTCAGCATGCCCCTCCATCCTGGTAGGCCTACAAGCCAAACACAGACGCTAGGGTGATCAGCAGGGGTCCTTTGCTATGAAACCAATGGAGATGGAAAGGGAGGGGGTTTCCCCAAGGAGATGGCCACCCTCAAGCCAGCAACCTGCAGAGAAAGGCCTCAGTCTTGAGGGGAGTAGGGTATCTTAGGAGACCAGCATCAGGCTTAGCTCCTGGTTCCACTCACATCGGTGGGCGGGCTTTGGCCAGGCTCTTCACTTCCCCTAGTCTCTGTAAGGATGGGCATGATGGCACATATAAGGATACTTTATAAACTGTGACATACAGCACTGACTCTAGAAAGCATCACTCAGGCCAAGTTTCTGTCTGGCCAGTTGTCTTCATGCCATAGCCCAGGACACATCCCAACTCACCTCTTTCTGGACCCCCCACTTCCATTCCCACTAGAGTCATTCCCTTCTCCCTCTGAAGATTCAGAGACCTCAAATACCAGGTTTTCAGCTGGGCGTGGTGGCTCACACCTATAATCCTAGCTCTCTGGGAGACCGAGGCGGGAGGATCGCTCCAGGTCAGGAGTTCAAGACCAGCGTGAGCAAGAGCGAGACCCCGTCTCTACTAAAAATAGAAAGAAATGAATTGGCCAACTAAAAATATATAGAAAAAATTAGCCAGGCATGGTGGCATGTGCCTGTAGTCCCAGGTACTTGGGAAGCTGAGGCAGGAGGATCCCTTAAGCCCAGGAGTTTGAGGTTGCTGTGAGCTAGGCTGACGCAATGGCACTCTAGCATGGAAAACAGGGCTAGACTCGGAGGAGAGGGGGAGGGGGAGGGGGAGGGGGAGGGGGAGGGGGAGGGAGAGGGAGAGGGAGAGGGAGAGGGAGAGGGAGAGGGAGAGGGAGAGGGAGAGGGAGAGGAGAGGGAGAGGGAGAGGAGAGGAGAGAAGAGGAAAATCTGGGCCAGGCACGGTGGCTCACCCCTGTAATCCTAGTACTCAGGGAGGCCACAGCAGGTGGATCATTTGAGCTCAGGAGTTCGAGACCAGCCTGACCGAGACTCTGTCTCTACTAAAAATAGAAAGATATTAGCTGGACAACTAAAAATATATAGAAAAAATTAGCCGGGCATGGTGGTGCATGCCTGTAGTCCCAGCTACTCAGGAGGCTGAGGCAGGAGGATTGCTTGAGTCCAGGAGTTTGAGGTTGCTGTGAGCTAGGCTGATGCCATGGCACTCTAGCCCAGATAACAGAGTGAGGCTCTGTCTCAAAAAAAAAAAACCAAAAAACAAAATTTTAAAGAAACATGGCTAGTGTGATTATGGAACCTATTTTTTAATTTTATTTAATTTTAAAGAAATTTAAAAGCCACAGTAGCCAGGCACAGTGGTGCATGCCTATAGTCCTAGCTACTTGAGAGGCTGAGGCAGGAGGATTGCTTGAAGCGAGGAGTTTGAGGCCAGCATAGGCAACATAGCAAGACCCCATCTCTGATAATAAACAAATGGCTGGCAACAGTGGACATGACTATTGTATTGAACAGCTCAGCTTTATACATATGGTAATTGGCCTGTTGGTGCCATCTCCAAAACACATTTGAAAGTCTGACTACTTTCCATCTCCACTGCCACTATGCCAGTCACAACCACCATCATCTCTCCTTGGACTTCTGAAACTGCCTTCTAACCCATCTCTCTGCTTCCTCTCCTGTGCCTCTACAGTCCATTCTCTAGTAAGAGACAGCTTTAAAAACATAAAACATACACCTTGTCATTGCCAAAATAATAAAAATAAATAAATAAATAAAAACATAAAACAAATCACATAATTTCCCTATCTAAAATTCTTCAAGGCTGGGCACGGTGGCTCACGCCTGTAATCCTAGCACTCTGGGAGGCCGAGGCGGGCAGACTGCTCAAGGTCGGGAGTTCAAAACCAGCCTGAGCAAGAGCTAGATCCCGTCTCTACTATAAATAGAAAGAAATTAATTGGCCAACTAATATATATAGAAAAAAATTAGTCGGGCATGGTGGCACATGCCTGTAGTCCCAGCTACCCAGGAGGCTGAGGCAGCAGGATTGCTTGAGCCCAGGAGTTTGAGGTTGCTGTGAGCTAGGCTGACTCCACGGCACTCACTCTAGCCTGGGCAACAAAGTGAGACTCTGTCTCAAAATAAATAAATAAATTAATAAAATAAAATAAAATTCTTCAATGGCTCTCCATTGCTCTTAGAATAAAATAAAAGTGCATCACTCCCCAGAATCTGACCCCTGCCTCTCTCTTTGACCTCATCCTCCCCACTCTTCAAACTCTGGTTTCCTTCTATTGCTTGGCAAACTTTCCTACCTCACAGCCTTTGCCCCTGCTGTTCCCTCCACTTGGAATGCTATTCCCCAAGCTCTCTACTTAGCTGGCTCCTTCCTGTCCTCCAGGCCTCAGCTCAATGCTCACCTCCTCGGAAGGGGATCTTGTAATTCTAAAGCAGCACATCCCTCACCCCATCCCACCACTGTCTATCTTATTATTGTGTTTCTTTCACATCCTTCATTATAGCCAATAATGATCTTCATTTATTTCTGTTTGGCAGTCATCGCCACATAAATGCAAAGACTATCTGTCTTGTTCACTCCTATATCCCCAGCACTTACAATAGTGCCTGGCACATAGTAGGGGCTCAACAAGTATTTGTGTTGGATTTCAGTAATTTGAACTTGTTAATAAAAAATACAGTATGAGTGATTTAAGGTTGATTTAAGGTGTTGGAAGTACCTGACAGTAACTTCTGGTGCACAGGTTAAAGGAAAGAACATTGGGCCTAGGCTTAAGACAGACTCCAGTTCGAATCTTAGCTCCCCCGCTTAGCTTACCCTCTCTGAGCCTTGTTTTCCTCATGTGTAAAATGAAGGTGGTAATGATATCTGCCTCAAAGGGCTTTGGCAAAGGTTGGAAATGGAAAAAATATGTGAAGTCTTGATACCAGCAGGCCCTGAACAAACACCAATCGATCCCTTTTAACAGAAATTCTGGGGAGCTTGGTAGCTTCTGGCCAGTAACATTTTATCTGCCTGCTTATAAAATCAGCTCACAGTGGTTGCAGTTTATCCTACTCTCCCTCCCTCCTGCTGTTCTTGTGTATTCATTTACCTTCCAGCTTTTCCTCCCAAGAATACAGTCTATCCTCTATATTATAGACATTTATAATAATAGAGTTATATACTAGACATATAATCAGGCAGGCAAAAGCTACATATATAACCTGATTAATTAAGGCAACATTCAAAGCAACCAAGACATATTTTCCAATCATAAAACATAATTCCCAGAATTTGAATTCCAATTATTTTGCTCTGCACAGCTGAAGTACTTATACCATTTTAAATTATTTTAAATACAGTCAATCTTTTTGGTTTCTTTTTTTTTTTTTTGAGACAAGGTCTTACTCTGTCCCTCAGGCTAGAGTGCTGTGGCATGATCATAGCTCACCACGCCTTGAACTCCTGGGCTCAAGAGATCCTCCTGCCTCAGCCTTCTGAGTAGCTGAGACTAGACACATGTCATCACATCTGGCTAATTTTTTTAAAAAAAATTGTAGAGGCAGGGTCTCGCTATGTTGCCCAGGCTGATCTTGATCTCCTGGCCTCAAGTGATCCTCCTCCCTCAGCCTCCCAAAGTGCTGGGATTATAGGCATGAGACACCACATGTACCCAGCCAAGGGTTATAAATCTTTTTATTCAAAACACTGGCAGTCATTAAGAGGGAATATGGTTACTTCTAAAAGAATTCCACTCTGTTTCAAAACCCATCACATGTTTCCTGTCTATCAGGGAAGAGTGGGTTAGATGATTGCCTTTGTGTTCAGGTCTGCCACCTTTTTTTCAGCAAGGCCAACTAGGTGTCAAAACCGTTCTGTGCTCTGGAGATAGTCACAAACATGACAAGATGTTCTCACGAAGCTTATATTCTAGAGATAACACATAAGGTTGGGAATGGATTTATAAATGTGAAAACCAGCATATGGAGATGGCATTTAAAACCACAGAACTGAGTATAAATAAAAAATGGAAGCCTTGGAGCACACTTCTTGGGAAGAAGATCTAGCAGAAGAGACCTAGAAGGAGTTTGCCATGAGCTGAGAGGGAACCCAGAAGAGTCATGGGCTTCTGGAAGACATGGAAGAAAGTTTTCAGCCCTCAGCTGGTCCGCCCAAGCACTCTCTCCTGGAAGCAGCCACCCAATGGTTAGTTGATACGGGGTATAAAGGCCCCACCCCTTGCCTTAATTTGGGACTTCTCTGCAGGGCCATCTCAGTTTCAGGGCCTCCCTTGGGTCAGGCTGAGGCCTCTGTTGAAAATACATCAGCAGTTCAACCCCTTCCTCTGTCCAAGCCCTGCCACCCCTGTCTTCCCTCCCCTACAGGTGATATTCCCAAGGGCACTCCGATTAATCTACACTCAGGCCTCCCTATCAGAGTCCGTTTCCAGGGAACCT